GCTCAGGGAGGCCGCCCCGCGAGGCACCAGGCGCGGCAGCCCCTCGCCCGGGCCCGGCTGCGCCCCCTCCAGGCCGAAGCCGTTCTCCTTGATGTACTCGTCGATGATCTCTGCGGGAGAAGCAAAAAACAGGGGGTGACGCTGATGATAGAAGCAAAGGCCTGATGACCCCCCGCCCGAGACCTGTGCCGCCCCGCCTTTCCTCCATCCATTCATTTCTTCAAGACATCTTCCTTTGTGGGCCGAGTGCGGGCGCGGGGGGGCGGGGGGGGGTGCTCGGCTCCCAACCCCAAAAAAGCCTCTACCCTCCTTGCAAACAGTTCCCAGGTTCTTGAGGCCAGAAACGGGGGTCGGCCTGGGTTCTCCTTCTCCTGCAGCCTCGTGTCCACTCCCCTCCCTAACAGCACCTGAATTCATGTCTCCATCCCCTCTCACCTGGATAAAGGTAGGCCCAGGTAGCAGGTGTCCCTGCCTCCTCTTTGCCCCCGTTTATTAATAACAAGAATAATAGCTGCTCTGCCCCAGCAGTTCCCACCTCAGAAAGCAGCACCACCATCCACCAAGTGCCCAAGCTGGAAGCCTGCCCATCTCATGATCCCACATCTGTTCCCCATCCTTGAACTTCTTGCGCCTCTTACCTCGAATATATGTTTACACTCCCACCGCTTCTCCCCACACCCCTGGCTCCATCCTGGTCCACACTCACTGTCTCCCCTCTGAACCACTGCTCCTGTTCCCCATCTGGCCTCCTCCAAGTCTGTCCCTCACACATAGCCAGAGGTAGCTTATGTCAGACCCTGACCTCGCTCTGCTCAGAGACCTCCCATAGCTCCCATCTCCCTTAAGAGTCAAAGTCAACATCCTCCCCATACTAACACCTTCCCCAAATTCTATTCATCTCAGAAAAACAAACAAACAAAAACCCACACCCCTGACCCCTGCCACAGAGCCTGGTGTGGGCCATGGCCCCCTGCTGTCCCGGGCCTTCGGCCTCCTCCCACCCCCTCCCCCCCATCTCGCCCCACTCCAGTCTCTTTTCTGTTGCTTGCTCCCAGCAAGCCTGGCCCTCTTTGGGGTTTTGTGCAACTCCCCATCTGCCTATTCCATGCTTCCCCCCATTCAACCCATGCTGGTTCCGTGTCCTTCTGGTCTCAGCTCAAATGCCACCTCTTCTGAAAGGCCCATCTAGTGTGTGTCTTCCCAGGCCATCTGCTCTTCTTCCTGTTATTTTCTTCACAGCCCTTAGCCCAATCTGACATGATCATGTTCATTTATTCCTTTTCCTACTGTCTCCCCCATCAGAGTGTCAGCTCCAGGAGGGTGGGGACCTTGTTTGGTTCGTGGCTGAATCCCCGGTGCCTAGAACAGTGCCTGGCACATGGTGAGTGCTCGATACAGTTTACTGAAAGAATTAACTGATGCTCACAGTAATAGCAACACTAAAGGCAGTTGACGTGGGCAGTCTTTTCTAAGTATCACGTACCGCTGGTACTTTGGGAACAGGAACATTAAAAGCCCCCAACAGTCCTACCCAACACCAAAGAAGGCCCCGATCCCGCACTGTGAGCACTTGGACGTCTCGCCAACCCCCCACCCCAGACCTGCCCTGTGATACTTACCCAATTCATCTGTGGAAGGAAGAGAAAGAGAAAGAGAAAGGTGAGGTCCAGAAAGTGGTCAAGACTTTCATCTTTTAAGACAGATTCCCCAACCCCATCCCCACCTGGAACCCTCCCCCTTTCTCCCTTCCTCCATCCTGGGAAACTGGGTTCTGGCTCCCTGGGGTGCCAAACCCCAGCCCCTATCTCACTTTCTTGGGCTACCCTCCCTTCAGCTCCCAATATTGGGGCCCCAGGGTCAGGGTACCCTCAAGTGCCTTCTAAAAAACATTGAGGCCAGGAATTATAAAGCATCGTTGAGGATCCAAGGAAGCCAAGGGTCTTATGACCAGGAAAAAATTAAACATCCAAGATTCTAAAGGAGATGTGGGGGTGTTCCCTCCCTAAAGCCCACCATAGAACCCCACTGGGGTCACTGGCTAGTATCTGAAGATCCAAGGAGGCTGATCCTTCACCTCCAGGCAATCACCCACTCTGCATCCCGGCCCAGTCCCTCCGCAGTGCCCACCCACCATCCCAGATTTGCTCCCAGAGGGGACAGTAACAGCAATGCTGGGAAAGTCCCTCATCACCTCCTCAGGAAAGCTCAGTCCTGAAAGGGGCCATGGAAAAATCGAAACAAACCTCCCGTCATTCCATAGACAGGACGAGGGGGAGGCCAGAGCGAGCAGGCAAGCCTGGGGTCACACAGCTAGGCAGGGCCAGCCAGGGCCAGATGTCCCTCCCAGGGTTGCCTGCCCCAGCCGCTGGCCACAGATGGATCAACGCCAGCCTGCCCCGCTCCCAGACCTGTCCTCCTCCTCCACTCTCAAGGAGTGGCTCCTGGCAGCCAGACCTTTGCTCCTCGGAAAGCTCCCCTTATCTCATGGGATCTCTGAATTCAGCAGGGTAAGGGAAGATACCCCCACTTGGTAGCTGGGGACACTGGGGCTGGGACAGAAGAAGGGACAGGCTGTAGGTCCCTGGCAGGGCCAACCTCCAGTCACTTCAACTTGGAAAAACCCTCTTAGGCATCTGTGCTGGATGACCTGGGGACCTGAAGAGGAGTTAGACTTTGAGCTCTTGAGGAGCTCCCAGGCTGTAGGGGGAAACCGAGGCCCAGGCAGCAGTGGCTTGAGCTTTGGACTGCCTCAATTCAAATCCTGGCTCTGCAACTTGATAACTGGAGGACCCTGAGCCCCTCACTTCACTCCTTTGTGCCTTGGTTTCTCCAGCTGTAAAATGGACACAGTAATAACGCCTCATTGGGCTGCTGTGAAAATTAAATGAGCTAATACGTGGGAAGCACTCAGAACTGCCACAGTAGTGGGTGTTGCGTAAATGCTGGCTGCCAGTGGATAAAGTGTTGGGAGACATAATTTTATGGACTTGGGTAACCAACCCGCTTTCCCTCTCTAGAATTCAGGCCCCCTGTCTATAAAATGAAGAGGGTGGCAGACCTGCTTTCAAAGCATGGAGTGTAGAGTCACACAGATGCTGGTTGGAATCCTACCTGTCACTCACTGACTGTGTAGCCTCGGGCAAGTCTCTCCACCTCTCTGAGTCTCTATAAAATCAGGCCTGAGCTCCCATCTCAAGGTGTGAACATGAGGATTCGGAATCACACAGGTAAATTGCTTAGCACCGTGTCTGCCCGCCCTGGCCCCTCCATAAAGCTTAGCTAATAGCCTTATTATCTAAAAATCCCCTTTCGGGGGCGCCTGGGTGGCTCAGTCGGGTGAGCATGGGACTCTTGATATCCGCTCAGGTCATGATCCCCAGGGGCCTGGGATCCAGACTGCGTCAGGCTCACTGCTCTGTGAACAGTCTGCTAGAGGATTCTCTCTCCCTCTCCCTCTCTCTCTGCCCCTCCCCCTGCTCGCTCGCTCGCTCTCTCAAATAAATAAATAAATCTTTGGGGGGGAAAAAATCCTCTTTCAGCCAGTAAACGTTGGGAATTTCTCCTTATTTAGGGCTCAACTCAAATAACACTCCATCCCACCCCAACCTCCCACACAGACGTGCCACCATCCAGGGACAGCCAGGACAGGCCGTGCGTGAGCAGAAAACCAGTTATGTCTTTCCTGCCTCAGGGCCTTAGCACAGCGTGTTCTCTGCCAGACTGTTCTTTCTCTAGTTCTTTGCATGGCCTCCTCCCCCTCCTCCTCCTTCAGGTCCCTGCTCAAATGTCACCTACTAGATAGGTCTTCCCTGACCACTTTATCTAAGATAGCCCCCTGGCCCCTAAGAGAACTCCAGTCACTCACCATTACATATCTTTGTTTTATCATTTTCGTGGCACTGGTTAGAATTTGGTATGACTTTGTGTTAAGGGACTCTTATCTGTCTCCTCCTGTAGACTGTGAGCACCTCAGAGTAGGGGACATGTCTGCCCCATATCCAGTACGTGTCTAGCCTGTCAGAATGAGGGAGATTTTTCCCTCCCACTCTGTCATAGCATTTAGTTCTCCCATCCTAACCCTGCTGTTAGATTTCACTGACCCCAAGACTTCTTCAGAGCCTTTATCACATTTGATAATCCCACATTTAATTTATTGCCTACGTGCCTGCCGCCACATCCAGGTAGGGAAGCCAGGAGGGCAGGGTCAGGGCTGTCTCGGTCACCGCCGAGTCCCCAGCACTGCCCAGCACAGGATGAGGTACAGAACAGGCGCTCAATAAATATTTATTGAAGAGATGACATCACACATTATTCTCAGTTGAAACCAGAGATCTTGGGCCAGAAAAAACTTCAGCCTTGTTCCTGCCCAGAACCAGTGTGTGGGCAGTACGTGTCCCCAGTGCCATGCCCCACCTTTCCCTATTGTCCCCACTCTCAGACCTGTCAGAGAACTGGCAGAGCCTCCTCCACAGCTGGGCCAGCACTGCTGGGGTCCATCCCAAGATTTTACCTCCGGACCGAGACCCAGCCCCAGCCCACTAGGGGCTGAGTCTTCATGGTAGCAGGACTCAGTCCCTGCCCTCCAAATCCCAGCAGATTTATAAGAGAGAGGATGTTGTCATTTAGCCATGATTCTGCATTTTCTTGGGCAGCACTGAACTTTGGACGGCACTGGCTCAGGGACCTTCCCGACTAGTGGTTCTCAGCATCTTTTGGGAACTTGCTAGAAACGCAAACTCTCAGGGCCGATCCGAGGCCTACTGAAGCAGAAACTCTAGAGGTAGGGTCCAACAATCTGTTTTAACAAGCTCCCTGGGTGACTCTGATGCACACAAAAGTTTAAGAACCACTGTTACGGGCGGTCTGATAATAATAATAGTAATAATAATAATAAAACGAGCTAGCAACAGTTAACACTTACTGAGACTTTACTGTGTGCCAGACACCGCTTTGAAAGTCTGCCTGTATCAGCTCATTGAATCCTCTCAATGCCCCGGCAAAGGAAGGCACTGATATTATGTCCATCTTACAGATGAGGAAAACTGAGGCCCAGAGAGAAGTGATTTGCAGGCATTCACAGAGCGAGGAGGGCACCAGCATGTCATTATTACCCTCTGCACTACCATGGCAAATCTCTAAAGAGGACTCCTCTTAGAGGGTGAATAGGTGGTTAGTTTTACCTGTCCAGCTCCTAACCACCCGGGAGGTAGGGGCACCTGCGACCCCCACCTCAACGGGCGGGGATGAACACAGGCGGTCAGAGGAAAGCTGAGGTGGACCCGGGCGAAACCCCAGACAGAGGCGTGCCCAAAGCCGCCCCCACAGGACCCCCCCCTCCCCCGTCCTGAGCGCGCGGGTGGGCCGGAACTGTGGAGGGCTGCTCACCCGTGGTCCTGGAAACGGCGAGCGAGAGCGAGGAGAGGTCCGCGGACCCTGCAGGGAGGGAGGCATGTCTCAGGAGGTGATGGGGATGCAGCGGGAGGACCGCAGTCTCCCAGGCTCCACCCCGTTCCTCTCCTGGCCCCGCCCCTTCGGATCAGGCCCCCTCACCCTTAACGCCCGCAGGGTCTGGCCTTGCTTCCTTCTCTAACTTATGGACCGGATCCCTAGTTTCTGTCATTCTCCCCACCCTGCACCACACTCAGGCCGCCGGCGCCTTCTCTTCCTTAAGGTCGGGTCTGGAGGAGCCCTTCTCAACCTCAGTTAGGAAAGCCCCCACCCCGTCCTTTCTCTCAGAGTCAGCCCTACCCCTTCACTTTTTCAGTGTCACCCCGTCCCCTTCTCCCTCTCAGACCCTGCCACTTCTCTCCTGAAGCAAGCCCCACCCCCCCTTTCTTCTCCGAGTCAGGCCCCGCCCTTCTTTTTTCGGAACAGGCCCTCCCCCTTTTCCCTGCCAGAGTCAGGCCCCTCCCCCTTACTCCGAGTAGGACCTTGCTTCCTTCTTAGAGTTAGGCTCCGCCCCCTTCTCGCTCTCAGAGTCAGGCCCCGCCCCCTTCGGTGAGCCAGAACGCTCCTTTTCGTCCACTCTGAGTCTGGCCCCTCCCTCGCCTTGCCCTCTCCGAGCCTGGCCAAGCCCCCACTCCTCAGGAGCGGCTCCCGCCCCGCCTTCTCTAGGTCAGGCCCCGCCCCTCCCTCTCGGAGTCGGGCCCCGCCCCCTCCTTTGCCTCAGGGTCAGGCCCCGCCCCCTTCTCACTCTGTAGTGGGACGCCTCCCTCTTACCTTGGGCTGGACCCCGTCACTATCTTCTGCCTCCTTCCTTCCCTCTAATACAGTGTCCCTGGAACCCTCAGCCTCGCCCCCCAAAGCCCCTAGACTCCTGTAGGAACCGCCAGACTACTCCGGGGCCCCCAGAACCCCCGCATCTCCAGTCCCGCCCCAGACTCCTCTCCTGAACCCGGGTCCCGCTTACCCAAGGCCCCCAGCTCCGGCGCAGCGGACGGTCTGGCGACGCGGCGACTCGGCATGGCCCGACCAGTGGGGACCGACGGCCGGGAGGCCGGCCCAGATCAAAACACACACGCGGGCAGGCCGGGCGACCAGGAGGCACGGTCCGGAGGACGATTGCGGGTCGGACGAGCGGCGCAGGGGCTGGGGCCGCAGGC